TCGTTCAAGGAGACGCCATTGCTGCTCTTCGCCGAAGCGTTGAAGACCATACGCATGGTGCGGTATAAAGTAGGCGTGGGATGGATCATCTCGTTGTAGCGTGATCTTCTCCATGTGGCCGAGCGTCTCGTACTCGCGCATAAACTGAACATACTTCTGGCGCAAGTCATCATCACCCCTCAGACGCCTCTCAAGGTTGAAAAAGTGGCCCAGCGCCTTGCCGTAGGAATCACCGAGTGCAGGCGCATCCGGAGAAAATGGGATCTGCACTATGTATCGGCCATTGCTCTTGCGCGATACGGTTCGTTGGAAAATCTCTTCGCAAATGTCATCGGTCGTTTTCGGGCGAGGAACCTCCTCCAGTTCCCAGAAGCGTTGAAGAATCTTATCGAGTCGCTTCTCCTCGGTAGCACATTCGGTCGGTGTGCCCAAGGCGGGGAGTGACGCACAGCGTGGCGATGTATGGCCGCATATGACCCAACCGAGACGCGTATGGACAGCGCACGGTTGCTTAGGCCCACCAGTGATAGTTTCACCCAGGAGAAGCATGCCCATGATGTCCGCTCCAATGAGTACATCGATGCTTCCTGGCGTGTGAAATGTCGGATCAGCCAGTGGTATGTTGTGTAAGTGTTTGTACCCGCTCGTGTCAATTGGACATGCGGGAATCGTCGAAGTTATACTAGGCAAAATGTGCGCATCAAAACGGCACTCAAATTCTACATCGTGATATGACCGCATCACCAGAGTCGTCTGTCCGCGCGAAGAAGTTGCCCTCTGTGAACCAATACCTTCTACCGTCAATGTGTAATGCCTTCTGTGGAGATTCAAACGCTTAAAAATGGCTCCGTAATGAAGCTTACCTGTGAACCCATGTCACACAAGAGACGACACGATACTTCCCCTCCACACCCATTTACGATGGGCGCCTTGGCAGTGGCTAGTAGGACGATTCCTTCGGATTGCGCCAGGAGAGACTTGACAGCATCCAGACGGGGCAGGACCTGAGGCGCAGTAGCGCTGGTTGATGGCGATTGTTGCTCGAGTACGGACACTGGTCGCGCTACTGAGCTGGTGTTTGTAGGTAACCGCTCGCCTTGCGGAGCTTCCTTACAAAGCAAGGTGCTGTGTTTCTGCTTACAGTTGTTGCAATTCAACGAGTTACACTCACGGGCCGAGTGACCTGGTCCCAAGCAGTTGAAGCATAACGTTGCTTGGCGTACCCAGTACAAACGTTGAACCAGACTTAATGCTCGAAATTGAGGGCATCTTGATATACGATGTTGCTCGGCGCATCGTGGGCAGGTCATTGCTGATCTCATGTTGGCGCTTGAAGATTTGGGCATCACCATATGTGACTGTGCGGTACGAAATGTTGCCGAGTGCCTGGGCGGTACGGTAGAGCTGCTCCTTAAAGTGTCAGCATAGGTCTCAATCTCCTCAAGCATTTTCTGCAGATGCGGCAGAGTGTCTGAATGACTCAGAACGGTCCAGTGCGTGACCGCCGATGTTGGAAATTTACGGATAACAATAGGATAAACGATGGCGTCCCAATGGTCGGTGGCCAAGCCCATCACGCTAAGTGCACGTAAGGTACTGCGTACTACATCGATTACATTCCGAACATTGCGTTGCGTAAGTGCTGGGTGTTCAGGCAAGTCCAACAACCGATTCACATGTGACTCAACCAAACGCCTGGGATTGTCGTACCTCCTNGAACGGTCCAGTGCGTGACCGCCGATGTTGGAAATTTACGGATAACAATAGGATAAACGATGGCGTCCCAATGGTCGGTGGCCAAGCCCATC